ATAATAATGATAATAATGATAATAATGATAATAATAATAATAATAATAATAATAATAATAATGGTTTATTCAAGCTTTTCTACAGAGTAGCTATACGTACGTCTGGATACTAAACTAAGAGACTAATAATACCTAAATACTACTATAAGCCCGAACCCTACTGAAATAAAACCTATAACGAAGCCCCAACCCATGATAATAAGTGGGGGGAAATATAATAAATTACCAATTAAAATTCCCCGGCATAGTCCCTCCTTCATATATACATTCTCCATCCCTGTCTATTTAATAAAGCTAATTATCATATAATTATTCCTAAAAAATACCTATATTTCTCCTTTTCGAAAAACTGATATTTTCACATGTGAAAATAACATGTTATTTTCACATGTGAAAATATCGTTACCGTATGTATTTAAGCTATTAGTTTATAAAGAAATACTTTTTGTAATAATAAAAAGCTTATTAAGTTGATTTTATGGATAATTATATAATAAACAGAATATTACATGGGCGCTTGGAAATACGAAATGTATCTTCTCGTGTTGAAAATCTCTCACTCGTTCGCTGCGCTCACTTGTGAGAGATTTTTTCAACACTCGAAGAWAAATTTCGTATCTCCGCGCGCCCATGTAATATCCTCTATTTAAAAGYGATAGTAAGTGAAATGTATACTGTGAATTACCAATTGAAATYCCAGACATAAGTCCCTCCTTTATGTATACACCCTCTCCCACCCAATGAATTAAAAGTGAAAATAAGTGGGATTCAAATAACTAATGAAATCCCCGAGCTATATAAATCTATAAAACATAATGTTCATGTACAATAAGAGTTATTCAAAGTTTAGTCATTTTTTCGCCCGTTCCCACAGGATATTTTTGGCGTCACGGTTAAAAGYTCTTAAATYTGCACAAGTTGTTCTGACATMTGGTGGTAGTTCATTAAATATTTTKGACGCAGAGTCTTGAAACSTCCCTGATTCTAGTGGGATACAAACTTGAGGGGCTTTGCTTGAACGTAATTGCCCTTTCGGTGCGTGTAGCTGGGGAGGTTTACTGGCCAACGCTGGTTGTGTATTGCATTGCGGTCGGTTCTTATCAGATTAAATTGAGTTCGCTCTCTCGCTGGTAGCCAGCCGAGCTTCACAATATCATGTGATCTGAATCGAAATGGCAATTTGCACGATGCTAATGAGGTCTATTGAGCTGCATTCCGACGTACTGCAAGGGTATACATGTTATTTTGCTTAGAAGTGCAAAATAGGTGAAGTTGAAACAGCCGAAAACCAAGGTATTATCTTGAGAAAGCTAAAAATACTAATTTCCCCAGAAAGGTCATTTATCCTAATAACGTTTTCCGACTAAAATTCCACGGGCACTTGTTTGCTGTTATAGACTTCGCATTTATAATGAGCAACATTTGATAGAAAACCTTCTCAATTGCAAAATAAAATACTTAATTACCTAGAACGTCGGCAATAAGCCTATACATCCCTCGGGCCTGCTGCCTTCGAGATGTATATGGGTTATTGTCTCCGTTCTCGGTAATTAACTCTTACATAACGTTTTCCGACTAAAATTCCACGGGCACTTGTTTGCTGTTGCGGAGAGGGAGCTTCTTTCTGACTTACCTCCTTTCACGTTTTGATGACGGATTGATCGTACACCGATACGTCCAGAAAGAAAGAAATACTAAGATAAATTATAAAACGGTCGTTGTTCCACCGATCACTGATTTAGATTTGGACTGAGAAAATCCTGTTGTCAACATACTACACTAAATAGGATGGAACAGCAATTGGAGCAAAATACCGGCAAAGTATAAGCTGAGGAAGGGAGAAGTTGGGCAAGGGAAAAACAAACAAAATACAACATAATAATAACGAAATATGTTTAAAACATGTACAGGAGAAGGAAAGTAACCAAGCTTAAACCTTCTTCACTGCCTTTTGTATCTACGATCAAGTATTTCATGCAGCTCGTGCAAATTTGAGTTATGCCCGGGGATCCAGATGCTAAGCCAGTGCTAGTGCTCCGTGAAATCTTAGGCAGATTTGAAAAAAAATGACTAGATAATGCCCGTGTATGTATATTTACATGGGTTACGCAAAAGATGGTGCAAAATGAGGTAACAACAACAATAATGCATGATTTATTGATGGCATGTCTACAYTCTTTATACAATGACATTACAAGTTAAGTACAAACTATTGAAATAGATCTCTAACTTGGGCGTAGTGCTCTCCATTTCCGACCACCTGTCCGCATTCTTTAGAGTATTATTTCTTTTCTTAACGGTTGGACATGAGAAGACACATATACGAATATGGATGTGGTTTAAACAATGAATATATTCTCAAGTGATCGAGTGACAAGTGTACTGAAATGGGAAAACGTTATGCCCRATGCTAATAGGTATATTAATTTCTATACAAGCTACACTTTAAAAATTAATGGTCTGAAAATGCATATCAAAGTTCAATGATTACGGCGTTAGCGCAAAACTGGCACTTCCTTCGCGTCAATTTCAGTGATCTTCTATTGGTCTTCTTATAATTACGACATTTTAAACCCATCTTGTATTTGAAGGGTTCGTTTCCGCCAGTTCCTTAGCTCTTAGGTTCAGCACCACAGTTAATTAAACTAAAAGTTTCTAATGGACCGACCCTCTATAGCTTATAGCTCTAAATTACATTATGGATGAGTATTGGTTTTTAATGTCTGCAAGTTCATCCAACGTCTCTGCTAACTAACGTATAACTAGTATAAGTACGGTAGTTATACGTAAACTAGAATAAAACGAACCCTGTATTTCAGAATYAATATTAATCGAGTTACCAAGTCTACAAAAAGTGGGTATACCCATTTATCCAATCGCCATCAGTCGGCGACATGGAACGTCCCCCCCCCCCCCCCCCCCCCCCCCCCCCGATTGTTAAAATAGTTGGCACAATAACACCAAAATGGCAATTAACGATAACACTAGAATGGCCGCATTGTCTTTAAACAACAAAGCAATTCAGCCCGGGCAATTCAAATACGTACATACTTGCCATACTTAGCACCATAAGTGTAAGCACCATAATAGTTATTTTTATCGAATTATTCATTATCTAGCTATATAATCTATACGATAACAGATATTTCCCACTGCCATAATCTTGCGAAATTATTTAAACGTGATRAGATAATCGGGATAGTTCTGAGTGTCATGGAATACAACGAAGATTGACGGGTCTGACGTACTGTTGACTACGGTGTCGTAAGTTATCGTAGGATTGTTTTGGTTCTTCGCCGGTGGTGTAATCATGTTACTTTGTCCAACTGTGTACTCCCCTACCAGCACACTTGCCATATACATATAGCGGTTTCCTGCGGGATCTGGCGGAGAATAAGTTGACCGCGCTGAGTACGAAGCATCCAGAGCAAAATAGACCCCTTTTCCAAACGCCGTAGCTATAAGAAAAAAATACATTAACGACATCACAAATTACATAAGTAAAATCACAGGAAGGTCATAGCATGGGAAAATTACTAGGGGAGTGCAACTCGATCTATTTCACTGGTCCATCAGATTGCTAGCACTCACGCGCTGATTGGTTGGTGGCTGTTACGTCGTCTTCGTAAGATGCTGAAAGGTTTTTTTCGGCGCCTTGATTCTAATCAATGAATTTCAGCCKGCTAAATTCTGTTTTTATGGACAAATTTACGAAAAAAATGAARMTTCTTTCGAAAACATATGGATTCAAAAATAAGACTGCATTATACACGGCCATGTTCAACTTGTGATCTTAATAACTGACATCAAACCTTCAAATTAGCTTGAATACTTCCGAAGACAACTAACACTTCTACAGCCAAGATTAAAATTGCTCTGTTTTAAGAGAAAACCGACGAGAAAGAACTCATCCAAGATTAACGAGAAAGTGTTTAAAAAAATTCATATTCATAAACTTTGAATAGTTTTTCATTTGTCGCTCCTTTCTTTCAAACCGTCAGACTCCGATTCCACAATACGGTAGAAGTCTTGAACTGAGATTTCCGAGTGAAAAACCAAAAGACGAACTGTGGAAAACTGCTGATTCTCTAATTTGTAAGAAATGAACTATCAAATCCAGTAAGTATTTATCACTGTTACAATAATTACTTTACAAGCACACGAAAGAAGATTGTTAGCACAGCTCATATTCAAGCATGCCCAGAACTGAAACACAATAGAAATCATGATCATGGAGGAGGTTTTATATCTGATTTCAAAAATGCATTAATAATTAATGAGCATTTGAACCAATTGGAGCGACCATACACGTCACGTGCATGCACCTTTAAACCCCATAAAGTCCTCTTCATTAGTATTCTTTATACAAAGAATACTAATGAGGATGAGAATTTATACATCCTTATTGGTATTCTTTAAATAAAGAATACTGATAGTATGGACAACCTTATCAGAATAAAGGTGCATCCAAGTTTAGATGAAGACTTAGAGCCTCATCAAGGTAAGTCTCACGTACGATCATCGACGACCCATAAATTATCGTCGTCTAGTGCCCCTGTCTTGAGTTCGGCATGTTGTCATCAACTTGTGGGAGCCTTTTTTTCACTTACTGCGCATGGCAGTGACGTACAAACCTCACTGCGCATGACACTGCTGTACAAACGACTATCAAAGTATAAAAGTTAATGTTCGCGAGGTATATGGTCGCTCTACTTCAACCAAAGGTTTGGGAATTATATACTTGAAGTTTTCGTAGCCGTTTAATAAACTCGCAGATCGTGTTTTATCGGGTCTAAAACCACTCGGCTACGCCTCGTGGTTTTAAACCCGATAAAACACTCCTGCTCGTTTATTAAACAGTACATAGATTCGTATTCATTTGCATAAACTTTAACTTGGATTTTCTCTATCAAACTTGGTTCATTTCGTAAAGAATTCATTCGGTACAATATGAGAACATACATCATGAGTTTTTTAAGCCATTTAAACACTACATAAAAACTTCTCGGAAATTCAACGAAAGCGCCACGTACCACTTGCTTTGCACCTTTCCTTTCACGTAAACGCTTTTCTTTATAATAGTTTTAATACTATGGGTCATAAAATGACTTCTGTGATCCATGGTTACACTTGTTGTTTTGTGAACTGATTTTTTCCCATTCTTGTGATAAAAAAAGTGTTGAAACCTTCATTTATCGCATCGTTCATTAATTGTGATTTCGAGACTTGGTAAACTTGTTTTCCATTTGCAGAAGGTTTTGCTAAAATATAATTGTCAGTTCTCTTACTTAAAATCGTGTCTTTCGACTTTCAATATCTTAGTACTTTATTTATTTTACCCTRTTAAATATTCTTTAGGATTGAAATTAAGTCTAATTAAAAAATAAAAAATTTCAAGCTCTGACAATCTGACAGCTCCAAAACTAGCAGACAGCAGCGTTCTTCTTGAAGTATTCAAGTTTTGATATCAATTTCCTATATCACAACGAGTTGAATTTGGGCTTGCATTACTAAAGTTTTCGTTTTTCTTCGTACAATTGTCCATAAAAAGAAAATTTAACCGGCTGAAACTCATTGAAAGAAAGCATTCAGCATTATACAAAGACGACGTCACAGCTACCAACCAATCAGCGCGCGAATTGTTTTTAGCCTAGCTAGCAATCTGACGGACCAAGGATTTATTGAGAGTTGTTCTCCTCTAGTAATTTCCCCTGGTTATAAGTTTAAAAAAATTAACGGACCTTTTGTATCAAAGTAGATAAATTGAAATAAATTCAAAAAACCGATTTGATTGTCCTCCTAGATGTCAACAAACATAAGCAGCAGTTACACAGGGAAAGACGAGGGTGGTCAAGATTGTGGGCGAATGCCTCGACTCTTAAGAACCAAAGGGTTTAATATTGTGTATTTATGATGAGAAAGTTTTGAAAAAACAACCTTTGGCTCATGATAACCGTTTATTC